TACTTTTGTTGACCCGCAACCTCCTGAATTTCAGCTAATGAGGTGCCTTAATTTCCAACTTTTTATTCCACTATGCAGTGCCATCAGGTCCTAATATTGCTTCCTGTATTATTTCTACGAAGAGCTCACACTGCTGCGTTTGGTTAGTGAGTTATCGAATGAAAATTTTTCTTCAGTTTGTGTGTGTTTTTTTCAGCGCTGAAGGCTAGTTTAAAATTTTGAAAATATCTGACACGGTCATGTCTATATATGTTCTCCGAAACTGACAATCGATCAGTTATTTCAAGCTCATGCAAACGCAGTGCACCTTCTTGTAAAATTCCATTCACTTCAAATAATATTGAAAAAAAAAATATCCTGGTGTGTGCCAAGAAGTCAGGTTTACCATTGGCTTTTTCCTAGGAAATTTTCAAAAGAGGCAACTATCGAAATCTTGCTATCGAGGCCTTCAGAGGCAAGTATCCAAACGTTCAAAATACTTTCAAGTGCTTCCCTCCTCACACAGAGAATGATTTAACTAGAGACTTAGATTAGGACAAAATGAAGGCTCAGCACAAAATCTGTGATATCGCTGAGATGCAGCTGTATGCAGGATGCGACTTCTGTACGATTTTACGCAAGAGATGACGTGGTTAGCTAATTCTTCGGGTCAGAACGTGGTTGTTAGGCAGAACTGATACAGCTACGGCCTAAAGCAGTTGTCAAGAAATTAAACATCTGTTTAAAAGTCAGAAACTTTGAAAGACATTTCAAGACGGCTAAAGTCTTGTCAAGTACTCCCATCGGGAAAACCACTGACCTGGTAATCACTTTAGAAAACGAGATGAACAAAGGGATCGCTAGCGGCATGCTGACCACGAGGCGATGTACTGGTCAAATCAACTGGAAAATTGATGATAGCTTCGCAACTGAACTGTCACGCTATGATTCTGCACCTGATCAAAGCATTAATAATTGTAATGATAAGCACAGTAATATCAACAGTGTTAATGCGCAGGAGCGGTGCTGGTGCAGAAGCGTGATGCGCACATTGAAGCAGCAATTGCATATGCCATTCGATGGATCAATGAACAAAATAGTGAACATCTGGAATATTACATAGAATATGTCCATCCTGCTGACTACTACGACGGCGTTATAAAAGGTTATGTTAAAAAGATCTAAAATTTTTTTAATAAATTTCGTATTCATCAAGTTGTACCAATGAAAATGAAGACCGATTTGCGGCATATGAGACCGAGCACTTCAAATCCCCGCACATCTCCGTAAAAATCGGTTACTCGAACGACAACTGCAATTATAGCTAGACGAACAAATTATACGTTCTTGAAGACTTGACCCATGTCGAATGTAGAATGATATGAATGGAGCAGATAAGGGCGTACGGCAGTTATGGGCAGATAATGCAATATTTGGCGTAGCAGCAATCTTACCTACTACAGATTTGATCACTGCTGAAGTAAACATTTTTCAGCATGCTCTTTGTTCGAAGCTCGGAAAATTGTGGCCCTATTCGGTTCGTCCTCATCAGTCCTCAACGAACATGTCGAAAAAGTTGCCACTGAGGTAAACTGAAAACTGTTTTTAACCAGACTGATGAATAGTTTTATAAGATTTTTTTAAATTTTGGCATGTACGAACTAGATTTATGTGTATATGTGGCTAATATGTTAAAAAACTCGTAAGGGTTTTATAAATTGTTGCGAGCAACGAAAAATTATAAATTACGTAATTATAAATTCTGAAAAAAAAAA